AGTATAAAAAATTAAATTATTTTCCAAGAATGTAGTATACAATTTAGGAGCTTTCATGCCTTGCAAAATATCAATAAAACTCTACTCGAGCCTTTTTTTTATATACATATTACTGTAAAGACTTTCAGTACAAGAACGTACAGACACATTAACTATAATAATAGTTTTTGCAAGTCATTTTAAATTTAGTTTAGTCTTTAAATATGATTATCCTTGTATTTGTGGAAACACTCATTAAGAATTGTTTAGGAAGGTTCAGAGACTTTTAAGAATCCTACGTGACTCCAAACGCAAGGGTTTGCTTCGATGCAAGAACCTGTCAAGTTTTTTCTTTATGATGTCACTCTTACTTTTCTTTAACTCTTTCACTTTTTCTTTAGACCTTGCTGTTTTCTAGGTCACTTGTGTACTGAAAGGTTCTTCCAACGAGGTTGAGCCTGACTCAGTCGTAAAATACCTGAATCTTCTATTTTAATGCAGCTTTTAGAAGCTAAATATAAACTAACCCGTGGATAAAACAGTTAAATTAAGGCAAGATGAACTGGAAAAATCCTTTGAAAACAATGTTTTGCAAAGGTAAACAACTTCTATTGTCATCGAAGAGTCTACGTAGCTACCCAGTTTTTAAGTCGAGGTACCACTGCTCCACAAAGATGGAACGAAAATTGTAATCATTACATTCAATAAATAAAAATCAACCAACTGACTCTCAGTGGCTTGTGATATTTTAAAATTGTCACCGTTAAAGATGGCAAATATATATATGGCAACAAACTCACAAACAGAGTTGGACAAACAGCAGTGGAAGTCTTGGCTGACAATCCATTTTCAATGAAAATCCGGTCACAAAACAAAATATTTATCGTGGAACCTGCCACTATGACTCACTTTCTTCGCATTTTTTCAAATGAATTATGAAAGTCAAGATTGAAGGGTGAACAGTAAATTATCTCTCAAAGTAAATTGATGACGTCAAGGTGTGAAATATCAATTACAACTATCTTTTTAAAGTTACATCTTGCGCAGACTTTTAAAGAGAAGTCGTACCCTTTCAGAAGAGATAGGCTGTCGAAACATAGTTAGTAGAGAAAACCAAGACTTAGTTGAGAGTATTACATGGTTCGTACAACTTCTGACAAACAAAATTCAAGGACTTTTCAAGGACAAAAAATGGTTTTCAAGGTCTAAGTTTTATTCATAAATCTAAACCATCTACGATTGAATACTCATTTGCCCAACGCTCAATTAAATTGAAAACAAAGGGAAATGAAAAATTCATCGACCAAAACATAGCCAAACCACTACATGTTTACGTTGCCCCATAAAACAAAAGCACATGGCGGACCACCCCACATCGGAGGCCTTGCGCATGAAATTGAGGCACAGATCCAACTTTGATTCATGTACTACTCACGTTTTATACCGATCATTTTCGCTTTTTGGTAGTTATTAGTTATTAATCGATCAGAAAAGCGATAAGGCGCACAGAAGTTGCTAAATTTCAAGGACTTTTCCTGACCTACTAAAGAAATCAATACCTTTCAAGGACTTAACCAAATTCAAGGACTTTTCAAGACGACCGTTAAAATTCAAGACCTTTTCAAGATTGTACGAACCATGGAATTAAATTTACGATACTGTAATCATCCAAAAGAAACTTTACCATTTAGTTACCAGTTCTTCTAAGATGTCATAAATTAACCTTTTACAGCCTAACATCAGTATGCATATTCTCAATACTGTTCTCTATACATTTCCTAAAGTGCTGACAAAGTGAATTTGCTTAACTGTTAACCCCCTTCTGTAGTTGTTGATCATTTTCCCTATTCTCATGACCTTCCTGTTTGATTTATGGGTGATATTGTACAGAGAAATTACATGCCAGTCACTCTTAGGGTATAAAGGTTAAGCCTATATCTGAATCATAGAACACAGAATTTAGGATATTAATTTCTCCCTCTGTAAATCACTCATTGCAAATAAGCCATCTCACTTTGTTGGAAAGATAAAATACGTTAGTTCTTCTTTTAGGACCCGACAAGATCAACTTATAAGAGTCACATTGGACGGTTCATTTTCTTCTAGAATGAAATTTAAGAAGAATAAACTGTGACTTTCAACAATTACTTCACATACATTTTTAAAGAATCAAGTAACAAATAAATCACAAAATATGAATCCTATTTCAGTGTAAGAAATCACTAATTGTACAAATTGACCAAAATGAGAATGCAAGGAGGAAAAATGCAATAAAAAACTGAATTACAGAAAACTCCACAAGAAAAGTCAAAATATAAACACCTCTTACTGTGTAACAGTGTTACCTTGTTCACAATCTAATATGCTCGTCAACAGATTGCACATAACATGATAATAAAAAAGAGTAGAATTTTTTCAAGCTTATGAAATCTACTGAATCATTTATAAATAAAATAACACTTAGTGTCATGTTGGACTTTTCTATGACCAGAAATGAAAACAAATCATACTAGCATACAAAATTTAACTTACAACATGAATTTACCAGTACTGAATGATAGCACTAGGCAATTTAATAGAAAAATCAAGTTGATTTAAATTTCCCACAAGACTGAAAGACAAGCTACAGCAGTACCTAAAGAAAAGCTTTCATAGTAATGAGATGAGTTAAATCTACCTATCACAATCACCAGAAAATTCCAGACACTGATTATAATCACTCTAGCCACAACAATCTCAGCAACTTTTAACTTAAGAATACATGGATATTCTAATCATTTTTGCTAGGAAAAAAGTTATTAACATCTGTTTTTCTTTGAAGGGGGGG